CCCCATCACAGATATGCCCTCCACAATGGTAGCCGCCAGCCCAGTGACCCTTTTGGACACCCTGGGTGTATCATCAGACCCAGCAGCAAGGACCCTTGGGGTTGGCCTCGGTGTACTCAGGGCATAGGGCTACACCTTCGGCCACCCCACTCACACAGGCTCCAAGGGCGTCATCGCACCGCTCCTCGAGGTCAGGTTGGTCGAGGTCTCCGCACCGGTCCCAGCACCGATCCCGTTCATGGCGCCACTCTAGGAAGGCCAGTCCGCTGCCCACAGATATGCCCTCCACAATGGTAGCCGCCAGCCCAGTGACCCTTTTGGACACCCTGGGTGTATCATCAGACCCAGCAGCAAGGACCCTTGGGGTTGGCCTCGGTGTACTCAGGGCATAGGGCTACACCTTCGGCCACCCCACTCACACAGGCTCTGGTGTCAGAGTCCAGGGCCAGTCCCTCGGGGACCAAGATCAGCCGGCTCAGCAGCCAGCACCGGTGGGCCCTACCCAGCCACAGCACCCCCAGCCTCAGCCAGGATTGCCCCCAGAGGGGTCATCACTGCCGATGGACTCCTCGTCCCCCAACTAGGCTCTGGCGGGATCCATTCCGGGCTATGCCTGCCATAGACATGTGCACCCATCAGGTCCTCCTCAAGAGGTTGGCTCGAAACTTAGGTGTGCAGGCCGAGGAGGTTGCGCAAAAATCCGATCCTATAGTGGACATCCTGATGGCAGATGGCCCTGCTAGGATTGCCCTCCCACTTAATATGATGGTGGCCAAGATCACAAAAAACCTATGGCAGACACCGGCGTCCATTCCTCCAACGCAGAAGGGGGTGGAGAGGAGGTATTTTGTGCCGCAGTCTGGGCACGAACATTTGTTTGCCCACCTGCCCCCAGACTCTGTGGTAGTTCAGGCCACTTGCCAAAGGGAGAGGGAGAGGGAGAGGCAGCCTGGTCCCACTCCTAAGAGTAAGGAGCCCAGAAAGCTTGAGCTCTTGGGATGAAAGGCGGACTGCAGCTGAGGGTTGCAAAACTGCAAGGTCCCAGACATAATAATAGACAGAGAAATAGGGAAAATAATGGTAGGGGCACCAGGAGACGCTCTCGTTTGACCTCGGATCAGGCTCAGGGGCCCCCCAACAAAACTCGGGGCCCGAGGTCAGGCTTTTGAAGGTCCGCCCAAGGGTGGATTACCAGCCCCAGCACTAATTGCCTCTTCTCAAACACTGTCCCCTTTCCATCGTTCTTGGGGATCTTATCACCTCAGACCGGTGACTCCTCAAAATGGTAGCAATGGGAGCTGCCGAGCTCCAGGTTTGTGGCGTGAAGACCATTATTCAGCAACTCCAGGCCACACCTATGATGACTGCAAGGCATTGTCTACGGCTGTTGAGCCACATGGCGGCGTGCACTTACGTGGTACAATATGCCAGGCTGCACCTCTGGCCTCTACAGGCCGACTTGCGACCGCATCGATACTGTAGTGACCGTCACACTGGAGATCCTGTTCACGTTGGACTGGTGGCTGCGGGAGAGCCAGGTGTGAGAGCCTGGTGTACAGTGGAGTCCCTTTTGCCCAACCCCTGCCTCGGTGCAGTTGGTGACGGACACTTCTGATACCAGGTGGGGAGCACACCTGGCAGTCCAACTGACACAAGTGAAGTGATCTCGAGCAGAGAGGTTGTTACACATCAATGTCAGAGAACTGAGAGCGGTACGTTTGATGTGCCAGACGTTCCTGCCTCAATTGAGGGGCAACTATGTCTCCGTCTTGACGGACAACACAACAGCGGTATTTTATATCAACCGACAGGGTGGTGCTCCATCCTCTCCCCTCTGTCATGAGGCTCTAGCCCTCTGGGACCTTTGCATCGCGCAGGGGATTCACCTACAGGCCACCTACTTACCAGGGACCCACAACACCCTGGAAGACGGCCTCAGCAGGGCATTCTCGGCCCACGAATGGTCTCTCATGGAGGAGGTGGTGCACCTTCTTTTCCGCAAGTGGGAGACTCCCCTCCTTGACCTTTTCGCCTCACAGGTCAACGAGACGCATGCCCAGTTCTGTTCATATTGAGACCTGGGCCCAGGATCAGTAGGAGATGCCTTGGTGATGCAGTAGCCCCCATGTCTCCTGTATGTCTCTCTCTCTCTCTCTC